GGTCTTAATAAAAATTTTTTTTCTATTTTTATGAAGGTTTTAATAATTTATATTAAGTATTAATGTAGTAGCTTGATTTTTACAATACATTTGATGAACTTATATTTCGAGTCATATTTTTGATAAGAATGTTTATAAAATAATGTTTCTGGTCTAAATCAATAAATAAAATAACGTTTTTCGCTTGAAATTTTTTAAAGGTAAAGTTATTGGTTAAAAATTTTAAATTACTTTTCTTTCTTATTTGGAAAAAGTAATTCTTTGTCTGTAAATAATAAAGATACACTTTCTTTGTTTGGGACGTGGATGCAATAACATGCATATGTATCATTAAAAATATACATGTCAGTTGACGAGAAAAATCGTAAATTGCTATTTATCTCTTTTTTATCCCTATCAGCACCAACGAAGTAAACAAAAGTTGTTGAGAAATTCTTTATTGAAAGCTTTCACTTCAGTCAGCTCTTACCGTACACCATGAATATCGCTTTCGACAACAAACGTGTTCTCGTAACTGGCGGTTGCGAAGGTAATTATTTAGATACTTAACAATACCGATAAACTAATAAACATATCATAAGTACCACGACAGTGTACATATCATTAAATCTTTTCATTCGGACACGCGTAAGCAAAACAACATTTATTTAAACAACCAAAATTATCCTTTAAGGTATTGGTAGAGAAATATGTTTGCGCCTATCAAAGTACAAAGGCACAGTTATTGCACTATCGAACAACAAAGAAAATCTCAAAAAATTGGCAAAAGAGCATCCCGAAATTAAAACAGTTTGCGTCGATTTTCTGGACTGGGGAGCAACGAAAGAAGCTGTTAAAAGTGTCCTCCCCATCGATTTGTTGGTAAATTGTGCTGGTATTACAATCCTGGCACCTTGTCTCGCTTTGACAGAAGAAGAATGCGATCTGACCTTTGGCTTGAATTTCAAAGCGATTCTGAACGTGTCCCAAGTGGTTGCCCAAAATTTGATCGACAGAAAAGTGCCGGGCAGCATCGTCAACATATCGTCCACAGGCAGTAAAGCCGCTTACTGGGAATACGCAGTTTACGGAGCTTCTAAATCAGCTGTCAATATGTTAACCAAGTTAGTTTGGACTGACAAGTATTGAGGGGTTGTCGTGAAATTTGTGCTTACACGTTTATGTAATTTTTAATTTAGGTCCATGGCACTGGAGTTGGGGCCCAACAAGATACGAGTCAACTGTGTCCTGCCAACTGTTGTCATGACGGAATTGGCAAGAAATCAGTGGAGTGATCCAGAAAAGGCTGACCTCCTCAAAAATCTCACTCCATTGCATCGATTTGCAGGTCAATCGGTTTCAATTTTTTTTTTTTTTTTTTTTTTTTTTTTTTTTTTTTTTTTTTTTTTTTTTTT